CACAGCCATGTCCATTCACACGCCTCCCTGTTCCACAGCCATGTCCATTCACACGCCTCCCTATTCCGGGTTCATGGACTTTCAGCGTGGGGGAGGGGACTACGGATATTGCTAGGGATTTCTTTTTTCCATAATGATATCTCCCAAAGAGGATAATGTAAAATAGGCCGGCACTCTCGGTGCCAGGGAACGTTCCGGGATATCTTGTTTAAGGATAGCCACCCTGGGTCGGGAAAAGGTCAAAACTGAATGTACATTTTACTCTATTTTTACTGTTCTTCCAAAAATCAGCTGAAAATGATCTTTAAAAGATTAAACACCGGTCAGCAAACTGGTCACAGGTATATGTACATTAATTGGCTCTATGTCCGTCGGAGTTAGTTATAGAAACCATCTTGGATAAACGCTAATAATAATCATAATAATAATTCTCATCTCTTCTCACAGCCTGCGTGTGAGCCGAGAATGGCAGATGTGTGACAGTCCCTTTCTGGCTCCTGCTGGATGGCTGTCAGTGAAATGGCACAGGATCCAGAGCCTGCAGATAGGGAACCCAATTACAGCTCCAGTTATTTTTAACAAATTTCTAAATACAAATTATTTTTTATAAATACCCTCCATTCACTCTGACATCAAGCAGGGGGTGGGGTGGGAATGGAGCCGCTGGGGGTAGAGGGGAGACAAACGCCCCTGGAATTTGGGGTGGTGACCGCGGCCTCTCGCTCCATCCGTCTCACACATGCTTTCCTGCTGGGGGCTACCAGGTCCCGTGCAAATCACACGGAGTTCAGGCTTCCTCAGCGTCCATCTCACACGTGGCTTCAGATGTAGATTTTCCCAGAGTGCCGCCTTCACTGCAGCTGCCTTCACTGCAGCTGCCTTCACTGCAGCTGCCTTCACTGCAGCTGCCTTCACTGCAGCTGCCTTCACTGCAGCTGCCTTCACTGCAGCTGCCTTCACTGCAGCTGCCTTCACTGCAGCTGCCTTCACTCCTTCAGGCTCAAAGACACGACCGCCGACCCCCAGCATCTTATCAGCCAGCAAAGACGGAGATTCTCTCTGAGGCCGTCACTGTGCCCGACATGCAGAGGAGCACGTTGGTCTCACTGAAACTGGCGTTTAAGGTTAATGGGGTAGGGGGGCCTGCAGGAACGGGCCGGACGCCGCAGATGAAATACAGATACTTACTGTTCGTTGACCACAAAGATGCAGTTGTCTTGCGAAGGAGAGCCGGAGACGGGGTGCTTGCAGGTCACCTTCCGCTCATTGTGACTGGGGACAGAGAGAGAGAGGGCGGGTCAGCGTCTTAGGGGAGCAGAGAGGGGAGGGGCTGAGGGGGATGGCCTTGCCTCCCTATTAGCAGAGGCCACACCCACCATCGGGGACAGGAGCGGCTGGCTCTGTGCACCTTGGGACTTTCAGGCAGATATATGTCTCCAGATACAGGGGAAAAAACCAAACGCACAAAGAACAAAAACAGCGCAGGCTTCCATTAGACTGCCCAGGAAAGGTATCAGCTTCCAGAACCTCAAACAAGGGCAAAGAAGCAAGAATTTGTGGTCCAGCACAAACACACACTGAGACACACACGCAGAGACACAGACAGACACACATACACACAGAGACACAGACAGACACACATACACACAGAGACACAGACAGACACACATACACACAGACACAGACAGACACAGACAGATACACACACACAGACACAGACAGACACACACAGACACAGACAGACACACACAGACACAGACAGACACACGCAGACACAGATAGACACACACATACACACACACGGAGACACAGACAGACACACACAGACACACAGAGACACAGACAAAAAAAATAAAGTGAAATCTGTCAGTGCTGTAATAAATCTGCAAAATGAGGATGACATCAGGTTCTCCAGTGGACAGGAGGACACAGAGAGAGACAGAAAGCAGCGACAGCACAGCTCGGCGCCCCCTGCCCTCGACCCCGGAAACGGCAGACAGCGGCTCCACCAACCTGGTGCAGCGCGTGGTGCTGAACTTCAGCATCTCCGACCTGCTCGGAACACTGTGCATCCAATCTGTCCCGGTTTAAAGCAAACCTGCTCGCTGCTACAGGCAGCCACACTCTGGCCAGGAGAGCGCTGGAGACCATTCTACCCCCAACCCCGCCTCGATTAAGGCTTCTTTATGTCAAGATACAAAAACAGCTCCAGCGTGAGCGTCAGCAGCCTTGTGAGGTCCTCGGGCGGCTTCCACTGTCTCCCGGCTGCCAACGAGGGACAACAGACTCGTGCGTCTGACTGCAGCAGGCCAGGGGAAGACATGGCTCTGCTCAATCGAAGCAGATCAAACTCTGGGGGGGCAGTAATGAGAAAGCAGCCAGCCCATTAAAAAGTACAGCAGATGAAAGCATGGGGTTTACACTCCTTTCATAGCTGATAGCGAACTAATTAAAGAAGCCGGTGGATTGATGTCTACCTGCCCCACCCCAGCAGGAGACCCCAAAAAAGCGTTTATATGGGCTGGGCCTAGAGGAGGCTGGAAGGGGCCATGCGAGGGTTTTCTTTCAGCCCCTGGAAGGAGGCCTGAGCCCAGGCTGAGTCTGTAATTAACCGCAGGCAGAGCGGCGCTCCAGTGGTCACCGGGCAGACATGCGGCACCAGGCGGCTTTGGCTCGCGGCCGGGGTCGCACTCGGACGCCCGCGCCGCGCTCAGAGAGGGAGGGGGTGGATGCGTATGCCGCCGGGCCGTCCTGGGACCCCGCCCATTGCCAAAGGTGGCATTACTGCCTTAACAAAACCTGTCAGCGCTGCTGTGGTTCATTATAAACAAGCAACTTTAAATGCTAATGAATCGACAATAACAATTACAAGCATATAGGGCCATATGTACAGTACCTGGTGCCTTAATCTGCCAGCCTGCCAGCCAAGAGCAAACCAGGCTGTCAAACAGCCCACAAAAGACACAGGAAGAGACGCCCAAGCCGGAGCGAGACGCCCAAGCCGGAGCGAGACCCGTCTGCCGGGACGCAAACCCGCAGAGAGTGACTGTCAGAGGCAGAGCTGCACATGCTGCACATCACCTTCATTCCAGACACTTTTACACACATACATACATACAGGTTATTTGTGTAACTAAATCAACATTAAACAAAAACATTTGCTAGTCTGCCCCAGAGAACTGAAGTACCAAAAAACATACCCCAGCTGGTTTGGAACTTTTGGTACTGGTATTTTGGTACTTGAACCTGACCAGAAGTCAAAGGAAAATGAAAACTACCGAACTTTTAGCACCAAAAGTACAGTACCCGGTGCAGTGCCCCAGGGCTCCCTGAAGAGGGTATGTTCTTGCCGCTGCGATATGAAGCATGTAATTACTGTTTCACGTCAAAATCAAAACCAGCCGAGGATGGAAAGACCACAGAGCTGCCATTCTGGATTTTTCCAGAAAGCAGAGCGGAACGTGGACTCCTTACTGGGCTGTCATCTCGGTGCTCCTAAGTGGTACTGACGTTGAAGTACTGTTTCATGTCCTCCACCAACTCAACAGTGGCAAAAAAAAAGAACCCAAGAAACCGGAAAGATATGAGTAAAAAGGAGTCACTTCAGCGTTCCTAGAACACAAGGAGCAGGTCTCCCAAGCTGCAGAGAGCCGGCACAGACTCACCTGAGGAGAACACGGACCTGGGCGAAAGAAGCGCAGCTGAAAGGAACGGCAGGGAGCGAGGTGACCAGGGGCAGCCTGATCAGTCAACCTGACGAGGAGCAACCCTCTCATCTGTGTGTACAAAGCAGGGGCCGCAGGCCAGGGCCCCCCCCAACACGCAAAACCCGGTGCTTCAGCGCCTCCAGGACTCACAATCGGCATGCCTCTGCTCTGCACAGCACTCCTCCAGGCCGGCCGTCAAGCCATTTTCATCAGAGCAGAGGATAAAAAGGCTGCATGATGTTTTTCTCCAGCTTCATTTTTAAACGGCATCACGTGGGCCTCTTAGGATGCAGTCTGCGGCCGGTTCGTGCAGACTGCCAAGCAGAAGGGCCACAAGTGACTCATCGCTTCCCTCCTCCCCGCATTTGTATTTGCTAATTATTTATAATAATAGTAAGAATAATCACCATAACAATGTGTTCCTTCTTCGGTCAGCAGAGGGCAGGCTCTCTGAGAGAATAGCCGCCCAGCACGATTAGCAAGATTAGCAGTAATTACAGCCTCCTTAGCCTGGGCCCGTATCCCCCTGTGCCAAGACGCTTTGCTGCTGCCACACCGGGTGGTCCTCTGCTGCAATGAGAGCAAACAGCAAGAAGCACTCTGTAATTAATCACGTTCAGCACCTACAGCTTCACCTGGGGGCTGAGAGACACTGCCGCTAATGCTGGCGCTAGTGCTATTGATGCCGCCAACACTACAGCTACACTGCCGCTAATGCTAACGCTACAGCTACACTGCCGCTAACACTACAGCTACACTGCCGCTAATGCTAACGCTACAGCTACTAATGCTGCTAATGCTAATGCTGCTGGTATACTGCCACTAGTGCTACTGCTACGCTGCCGCTAATGCTACTGGTGCTGATACTGCTACACTACTGCTAATGCTATAGCTGCTGCAACTGATGCTGCTACCATTACACTGCTACTTCCACTGCCAGGGGCGTAGCAAGAAATTGTGGGTGCCCCAAACTGGCGTATACATTACTTTTTGTATTCAGGGGTCCTTATAAAGCAGCGGTCCTCAGTCACCGGGCAGCAGAGCATTTGCTAGCGGGTCGCACAGAAATAACAAAAACCTTTTAATTATTATATTTCCATTTCGTTGACTGAAGTCAGCAGGGTGTTTTGTTTTGAAAAATGAGCAGATCATCTCCTCACCATTTCCATCTGTGCCTCTTTCACAGTTTTGATTTCAGGTATAAACAGGTAGATACAGTGTTGTTTTGATAATATTGCACATGCATATGCGCAGCATCTACCAGGTTTGCGACTGGACGTGCATCTTTGCAGGCACCATATTGGTCACGAGTCACTACTGCGCCCCTGGGTGGGGCCCCTGTAAAGTGCTGGGCCCCCTGAATCTGCCGGGGTATCCGTGCCCCTACTGCGCCCCTGGGTAGGGCCCCTGTAATACATCTGTCATTTATTTTTGTATTTCAGGAAAACAGAGCACACAATCCCAGGTGGCAAAGAGCACGAAGATGTGCCTTTGGAGGTTTGCATTTTTATGCCCCCTAAACTATGCCCGTCACCTTCATTATTACCCATAGACATTAACACCAGTATCATCATGTTAACTGAAAGTGTGCCAATCCATAAATACATGAGCGAGAACACGATGGAGCAGCATATTAAAAACAAATAAGCAACATGATGCACTTTCCTGCAGCTTGATGGAAACCCAAAAGGCTTCTAAAAAAAACATGGCATCTCTAAGGGGCGGGCGCCAGGGTAAGGCACAGCTAAACCTTTAAATCCTTCAAAAATGACACCAGCCAGACCTCATTGTTCAGTATACATTGTGTATTTATGTTCATTTTTAAGGTGTCACAATTCCAAGGTCTTGTTTTGGCATCAAGTGCAGAATTTATGGCTTCTGTTGGCAGACCACAAATGACACGTCACACGTTTCCACTTTTAAGACGCTGTGGGAGACCAAGCCTGGAATTACGGTGCGAATCGAATGCAGAGTGACTCAGTGACGCGGAGAGCTTAACAGTCAGCGACGGCAGCCAGCTCTCCGAAGGCCCCCGCCGGTCTGCTGAGCCCCTCCCGTGCCCAAAACAGAGTTGTTGGGCGAGACAGCGTTTCCGTGGCAACACGTGTGTGTTGGGGCTCAGATTCCAAGGAGCCACTGAAGTGGCTTTGCATGGTTGAGGTCACCCCTGGGGTTAGGGTGCCTGCAAGCTTTCAATTAAATAAATAAAAAAACAAAAATAGGCAACCAGAGAAACGGAAAACCATAGAACTTTCCAAGCTAAAGTTTTCCCTTATTCTAAAACCACTATGAGTTATGACATTTTAATACTGGGGTAAAATTCAGCAGATTCATATGACTTACAGATTACTACCATAGGCAGCCTAAGGACCAGGGCATTTCACGCTGTCCATCACGGTCCCCGTGCGACAGCCCATTGACCCCCCCCCCCCCCATCTCAGGACGCCACTGGGGTCAGGGGGCAGATATGCCAGCTCACCTGCTTTAAAATGCAGCCTGACCCCTGCTGCTGTCTGCCTGCTCTCATCGGGAAAAAACCCCTCAAGAGTGAGCTGTACATAAAAC